ATAAACATGAGACACATAACAGTGGGCCTTACCTAGTCTTAGGGATCAAAGAAGTTTCCCTAGAAGTAGAACATTTGAAGAAGAGAGACGAGTCCATGCAAAGGCTCTGAGACAGGAAGCAGCACATTACAATGGAAGAATTTACAAGGGGCTGCAGTGTCTGGACAGCAGCAGAAAGTGGGGCAAGCGGAGGTGGGAAAGAAAGAAAATTGTCAGTTCATGCAGTCTGAAGCATGCTGTTAAGGACTTTGGAGTTTGTTTTAGAAAAGTAGAAAGACTTTGAAGTGACAATTAGTCTTGCATTTTTAATAATTACTTAGTGGGCATGAGGAGAGCCTAAATCCACTCCAGTGACATGGCTGGGACAAGTGTAGTCCTAGTAGCACAGTCAAGGGCGGTGGAGGAACGTGGTTACATTCAAGATCTGCAGGAGCTAGAATCAACCATACTTAGTGATCAAATGGAAATTGGAGTACTGATGCAGGAGATCCCAGGTGTCAGGCATGACTAGGGACAAGAAGGGGCTGTTCACTGTGAAAGGAAAATGAATCTTGGGACCCCAAAACCACTAAGCCAAAGGGAAAAGTCAAGCTGGGAACTGCTTAGGGCAAACCAGCCTCCGAATCTATTCCTAAAAAACATAGCTACTAAGATTAAAAAAAAAAAAAAGCTACACACCTCCCTCACAAGGAATTTCCCTGTGAACAAAGGACCGATAGAACTCAAAGTCATTCCTCTGCTCACTGACCTAGAAGCCCCCTCTCCACTTCCAGTTGTCCCGCCTTTCCAGACAGAACCAGTGTACATCTTACATATATTGATTGATGTCTCATGCCTCTCTAAAATGTATAAAACAAAGCTGGGCCTCGACCACCTTGGGTACCTCGACCACATGTCATTAGCACTTCCTGAGGCTGTGTCATAGCTACGCATCCTTAACTCTGGCAAAATAGGCTTTCTAAATTGACTGGGACCTGTCTCAGATATTTGGGGCTCACATCACTGAGGCAGAAAACACTGCAAGAGGACAGTTTTATTGGGGAAGCATCCCCAGCTCAACTGGATTTGCTGAACCTGGCATTGCTATAAACCTTGTGGTTGGAGATGTCTACTGTAAAGCTATACTGTGGGTCTGGAGCTAAGAGGAAAGTCTAGTGCTGCATATGTAGATCTAGAAGTTGTTGATATACAGAAGATATCAAATTCATGCGAGTGGTAAGCTCACCTACATAGTTGTACCAGGTTTGTTTCCCAACTTGTGCGTTAATGAAAAGAGTCAAATTATGTAAAATATTTGAAGAGATTTATTCTAAGTCAAATATGAGTGACTATGGCCTGTGACACAGCCCTCAGGAGGTCCTGAGAACATGTGCCCAAGGTGGCCCAGGTGCAGCTTGGTTTTATACATTTTAGAAATGCATGAGATGTCAATCAACTGCATCTTAAATGTATTTCTTAAAAATACATTGGTTTGGTCCAGAAAGGTGGGACAACTCAAAGCGGGGGACAGGGGAAGTGCTTCTAGGCTATAGGTAAATTTAAACATTTTCTGGTTGACAATTGGTTAGAAAGGAAATGTTCGGGTTAAGATAAAAGATTGTGGAGACCAAGGTCCTTTTGAAGTCTTATAGTGTCTGCCCTTAGAGTAGATGACAAATATTTCCTATTCAGATCTTTAAAATGTGCTAGACTCTTTCCGGAGTCAGACTGGAAAGTAAATCACAATATATAGGGTTAAATACAACCCATCTGATGAGAATTTATGGTTTGTAGGGCATGACTCCCCAGACCTCTTAGACAAGAATTTGAGCAAAATGAAAAAACTCAGAGCTTAGTCCTCTCGTGGCAAGCAAATACACTAAGACAGTAGGTTGCAGCAGAGAAAGAGGTTTAATCATAAGGCAGCCAAATGAAAGAGATGGGGGGAAACCTCAGATCTGCCTCCCCGAGGCGTCTAGGGAAAAGGGATTTTAAGAGGCTTGGATAAGTAGTGGGCTGAGTTGTAGAGACGGTTGTTAGGTTGAAGAGTGTAGAGTGAAGTCACAAGATAGAGAGAAGAAACTGTATTCTCCTGTTGATTCCGTTCCTCTGTGGGATTCTTCGAACTGGTTGGCACCACCCATTTTGCTGCAATTCAGAATCTGAAAAACATCTTAAGCAATTCTTAAACAAAAGCCTTATGATTCTAATGTCAGAGAGTCTAGCTATAGAAACAATGAGAATTTAGTATCTAGTATTAATGAGAATGCAAATGGTCAGTATCTAGTGAGATGTGGCTAGTCCAAATCGAGGTGTGCTGTAAGCCTGATATGCACACTAGATTTGCGTTTAGTAGGCAGTTATAAGGAAGTGGCCCAGAGTGCAGTGTGATCAATGCTCAATTATAAGTATTACGTTTCTGTCCAGAACCTGGCATGCAATTCTTGTTAACTCTGTGAGGGTGGTTTCACACAGGCAGAAAATGCGCACCAAGAGAAGCTCTGGTACGACTTTATCTACAGTGTCTGCTCAGACTCAGCAACACTTTAGAGCGTTACCAGGGAGTAAAGGCTACCATTGGGCAGAAGGTGGGTGGAAGACCCAGAGAAAGTAAAACTTCAAAGTATTTTTCCAGTTTGGATTATAATCCAGGAAGACACAATGCCAAACGCCATAATCCTTAATGTGTAAGTCCCAAAAGATCAAAATCCCTAAAGTATAAATTAATTCTCTAACATATAAAATCCTGAAAATCAGTCCAGGCACCGTGGCTCATGCCTGTAATCCCAGCACTTTGGGAGGCCGAGGTGGGAATATCGCTTGAGCCCAGGAGCTTGAGACCAGCCTGGGCCACATAAATCCCATCTCTACAAAAAAATACAAAAATTAGCCAGGTGTGGTGGTGTGTGCCTGCAGTTCAGCTACTCTGGAGGTTGAAGGAGGAGGATGGCTTGAGGCTGGGAGGTAGAGGCTGTAGTGAACTGTGATCATGCCACTACACTCCTGCCTGGGCGACAGAGCGAGATCCTGTCTCCAAAAAATTAATTAATTCGATAAACCCCTGAAAATCACAGTCACAAGATGGTTGCATTATGTTAGGCAGAAGAGGGAATGCCCATTTCCATGTATATCAAATCATGGAAGAATTTCTAAAACAGCAGCACCACATGGAAAATCAGTGTGAACATATTCATCAAGGAAGGCTGTGCCCAATTAAAAAAAAGCAACTACTCATTGCAATGCAAGACTTCAAAATACAATGAATGATGGTGATAGTCAGCCAGCTCTTGTGGACTACCTATGTGCAATTGCCCATGGTCTATCCCTATGATACACTTTTCCATATGTCAAATTTCCCTTTCAGTTTGTTTTTGTTTTTCAATTTTTTGTATAGTTTTTTTTTAACTAAAAAATGGAAATTGGAAAGGTTTAATCCCTTGACTCGTCTAGTGTTGCCAGCCCACTTCCCTGCTGAGCCGTGAGACTGCGTAATACCACAGTTCGTCATGACGTTCAGATACGTCAGGGGTTTAGTCCTATCCTGTGAGGTAGAACAAATGATGGAACAGGGAATACTCAGCCTCCCCGCAACACCAAAAGATTTTGCTCTCTTCAGAATAAGGAGTGACAAAATAGTCACTGTATTAGTCAGGGTTCTCTAGAGGGAGAAAACTAATAGGATAGATGTATATATGAAGGGGAGTTTATTAGGAGAATTGACTCACGCGTTCACAAGGGGAAATCCCACAATAGGCCATCTGCAAACTGAGGAGCAGGGAAGCCAGTCCAAGTTCCAAAACCTCAAAAGTAGGGACGCTGACAGTGCAGCCTTCAGTCTGTGGCCGAAGGCCCAAGAGCCCCTGGCAAACCACTGGTGTAAGTCCAAGAGTCCAAAAGCTGAAGAACTTGGAATCTGATGTTCAAAGCCAGGAAGCATCCAGCACAGGACAATGATGGAGGCTGGAAGACTAAGCAAGTCAAGTCCTTCTATTTTCTTCTGCCTGCTTTATCCTAGCTGCGCTGGCAGCTGATTAAATGATACCCACCCAGACTGAGAGTGGATCTACCTCTCCCCATCCACTGACTCAAAAGTTAATCTCCTTTGGCAACACCCTCATAGCCACTCCCAAGAGCAATACTTTGCATCCTTCAATCAAGCTGACACTCAACATTAACCATCACAGTCACTAAGCTATGCAGAGACTGGGGTTTTTTAGCCAATATCATTTTCTATCTTTAACCACTTAAATAGCTATGTGGCAGACCCACTCTTGTGATGTCCTTTATCTTTCGGGTGCTTGAAAATATCCAAGACACTTTTGCCCTCAAAGAAAGGCACCCCACAAGGAAGGATAGGGCAGAAAGAGAGAGAAAGAGGGAGCCATTGCAGTCACAGCAGGAACAAGGCATTCTGCTTCCTGGGGGAGCCATGCTGATCTGTGCTGCTATTGCACAGCTCTCTGCGGAGGAAGGGCTTGAAGTCGTGGACTCTCCCCTCCTAGGAGAAGGCTCCTGAAGGGAATGGCAGGGAGATGTGCAATTTCATCTCTAGCTTGGCAAAGTGTGCTTTCCTGTATTCATGCTTACCTCCCTCTCACTTTTTTTTTTTTTTTTTTTTTTGATAAGGTGTTTCCCTCTTTTTGCCCAGGCTGGAGTGCAATGGCACGATCTCAGCTCACTGCAACTTCTGCCTCCTGGGTTCAAATGATTCTCCTGCCTCAGCCTCCTGAATAGCTAGGATTACAGACGCCCACCACCACACCCAGCTAATTTTGTATTTTCAGTAGAGACAGGGTTTCACTCTGTTGGCTAGGCTGGTCTCGAACTCCTGACCTCAGGTGATCCACCAAAGTGCCTCCCAAAGTGCTGGGATTACAGGCCTGAGCCACCACATGCCAGCCTTTCACCCTTTCTGTAGCCCTGGAAAGACTACATATATAAACCTGGGTTTCTTTTCCGAAAATTTTTTTTTAGAAAAATGTGTAAAATGCTTGGATGTTTGCTCTGTCTCTCGCCCTCCTAGCCATGCACTATATTTATAGGGTGTATGTTGTATACCCAGTTCTTCTTAGGCCGAGAGAAAAGTTTGCTTGATCAAAAATGATCACAGCTTTGCAACATCCCTTAGAAGCCGGTATAACTTAGAATCATTATCTCATCCTTACCCCACTCATATCTAATGACCATGTGGAGAAAGAAAGCAGATTCAGAACGTATTTGAATTACATCACCCTATATTCAAAACTAAATAAGAGCCAAGAGAAGTATACACACACCCAGTTTTTTAAGTAGTCAGGGATGTCCTTCCTTTTCAACTTTCCTTTCCCGGCATGGCCCCTTGGGGGCTTCTTCAATTTGTGAGGATCCATAATGCAGGTTCATGAACCAGGATTGGAACTGCCCTGAAAACCAAAGGACTGGCTTTTACCAGTTACTTTACCAGTAAATGTGCACCAATTACTTTCACACCAACCTAATGTATAACTGAGTCTACTTTATAGAGTGGGGGACAAGAAAAGCAAGGTTTTGATATTTGTGATATCAAAAGAAAATTTAAACGGAACATGAGGGAGCCTCTGCTAATGTTCCATCTCATAATCTGGGGTCTAGTTAAGCAGCTATGTTCTTCATGAAAACTCATCAAAATGCACTTATTATTTATGCATTGTTCTGTATGTTTTTATGCATCAGTAAAAGGTTCACATTTTAAAAATCCATCATCTGGCCGGGTGCAGTGGCTCACATCCTAGCACTTTGGGAGGCTGAGGCAGGCAGATCACTTCAGGTCAGGAGTTCAAGACCAGTTTGGCCAACATGGTGAAACCCCGTCTCTACTAAAAATACAAAAATTAGCTGGGCATGGTGGTAGGTGCCTGTAATCCAAGCTACTCAGGAGGCTGAGGCAGGAAAATCGCTTAAGCCTAGGAGACAGAGGTTATAGTGAGCTGAGATTGCTCTATTGCACTCCAGCCTGGGTGACAGAGCAAGTCTCTGTCTCAAAAAAAAATCCATCATCTAATTTGTCTAACAAAAGTCTAAGAAGGAGATGGTGTCCAATCTAATTGGTGTTATCCAATATGGTACCCACCAACCACATGTGGCTATTGAGTACTTGAGATGTGGCTAGTCCAAACTGAGGTGTGCTGTAAGCATAACATGGACACTAGATTTTAAACACAGAGTATGAAAACATGTAAAATATTTTATTAATTTTATATTGATTATATGTTGAAACCATATAGTACAGATATATTGGGTTAAATCAAATACATTTTAAAATTAATTTCAATTGTTTCTTTTTGCCTTTGTTAATGTTGCTACTAGGAAATTAGAAATTATGTATGTGGCTCTCGTTATCTTCTTTTGAACAGTGTGGTCCTACTGTCTCTAACTCTCCCACTAGACTGGGTGTGAATGAAGTTAGTTACTGTAGATCCTGGCCTCACACACTCACACCTAATGGATATTTTCAATTCCCATAGAAATACCACAGAATATTTTATATTCTAGGGGGGAAAAGGAATAATTACTAATCTTGATTTGTCAATTTGGCTTAAATATATACACATTATACATTACTTTTTAAAAAATTAACAATGAATAGTGTAAAGTGTTTTCAAGTTGAAAATAGTAAAAGTAACACTTCTAAAATGAACAAATCTAGCCAGGCACAATAGCTCATGCCTGTAATCCCAGTACTTTGGGAGGCCAAGGCAGGAAGATCACTGAAGCTCAGGAGTTCGAGACCAACCTGGGCAACATAGTAAGACTCTATCTTTACAAAACAAAAAAAATTAGCTGGGAGTAGTCCTAGCTACTTGGGAGGCTAAGGCGAGGGGAACCCTTGAGCCCAGAAGTTCAAGGTTACAGTGAGCTATGATTATGCCACTGCATTCCAGCCCAGGTGACAGAGCAAGACACTCTCTCTAAGAAAGATAAAAATAAAAAAATAAAAATAATGGGCACATTTGAAAAGTTTCAGTTCAGTCAGTCATGAGTGCAGAACCACCACGGCAAAGGGAAAGAATATATCCTTTCTTGGGTTTATAGTCTTCCCCTTTGTGTAATATTTCTGCTTTCTGTTGTATACTTTTTCATAATTGGTATTCAAGCTGTGAAAAACATTCTCCCATCAGCAGAATCTGGCACTATAGCAGGCTCTTCAGATAGCAGGGTTGGCAGTTTTAAAATTCACTCTGGATTTGTTAAGTGGTTTACAGCTGAGAAGCCAGATGAGCTGACTTTTCACTGTATAAATTTTGAGAAAGCACAGAGGCAAATATCTCCTTAAGAATTATGATATTCTGTGGGCCATATCATAGGCACATTATTAAAATATGTGCTCTTTTGACTATTATAGTAATCTAAAATTTGCTAATTATATAATAGCTCACTAACAAAAGCATAATCATAGATATACATTATTTGATGTATGTCCCAGTTATTGGCAAACCTTGAAACTAGTTACATATTACTCCTAGAAAAATCAAAATTTGTCCCAAAAGTGTTAGACTCAAGTCAAGACTAGAAGTGCTTAAGTAGGCTTAGGAAAATTACAATTTCTTCCATGATAGTCACCAGGGAAACATCTATCAATGGAAGTTTAAGAAAATTGAGCACAGTAAGCAAGAGTGAGGGACGAATCACAGCAATTGCCTGTAAGCATTCTCCCGTTTGCAGAGATTCTAATCCTCACTCTAAAATGAATTATTTCACCACAAGGGGTTTGCAGTGAGAGCATTTTATTTTTGTTTTTGCTTTTTTAGAGACAAGGTCTTACTCTGTCGCCCAGGCTGGAGTGCAGTGGTACAATCTTAACTTACTGCAACCTCGAACTCCTGGGCACAAGCATTCCTCTCGTGTCAGTCTCCTGAGTAGTTAGGATTATTCCTATTTTTAAAAAAAAATTATTTTGTAGAGACACGGTCTTGTTATATTGCCCAGGCTAGTCTCATACTCCTGGTCTCAAGTGATCCTTCTGCCTTGGCCTCTCAAAATGTTTGTTCTTTTTATAGGTAACACTAACCATTTTACATTCAACAGTCATTGGAAAACTCAAAGATTCAACATCTGTAGGACAAACATTCTTTGAAAGTAGCAACACTGCCTAACAAATTTTAGTTGACATTCAACTTAACTATGATACTCAGAACAAAAAGAGTGGGGAAAATAAGAGAGGGAGGAAAGAAATGAGACTCAAATCAGGGAGAGAGAAGGAATGAAAATGAATAGTACATTTTCTGGAAGTCATGAAAGTCATCAACCTGAGTTTAATATTTGATCTGAATGATAAAGGAAGATGGTACTGGTGCTATCAGAAGGGAATTCTAGTTCATTTACATCTCACAAAACATATCAACAACCTAATCTAGAAGATGAGCTACCATACTTATATCAAGACTTTTCCAATATGTGAATCATAGGATTCTTCCTTTTCTACTTGTAAAGCCCATCCGAATTCTTTGGAAATTTCTCTGATTACAGGAAACAGCAGATAGACTGATGAAATATCTGTAGTTACATAATGCTAACTAGTTAATTTTTAGATCTTCTTAGGTTGAGAATTTAAAGTCTATTGTTCTTGTATCAACCCAAAAGACATCTCTACCAGGCATTTGTTAGCTAGCCCCTCAGCATACATTAGGTTAATTTTATGTATCAACTTGACTGGGCCACTGGGTGCCCAGACATTTGGTCAAACATTATTCTGGGTGTGTCTGTGAAGGTGTTTCCAGATGAGATTAGCATTTGAATTGGTAGACCTAGCAAAGCAGTATATCCTCCCTAATGTGAGTGGACCCCATCCAATCAATTGAAGACCTGAACAAAACAAAAAGGCTGAGTAAGAGAGAACTCCTCCTGCCTGACTGCTTGAGTTGGAACATGGGTCTTTTTCTCCCCTTCAGACTCAAACTGAAACATCAGCTCTTCTTGAGTTTCAAGCCGGCTGACTTTCAGACTGGAACTTACTCTATCAGCTCTCCTGGTTCTCAGGCCTTTGGACTTGCACCGAGACTATGCCATCAGCTCTCCCTGGTCTCCAGCTTGCCAAGTGCAGATCTTGGGACTTCTTTGCCTCTGTAATCATGTAAGTCAATTTCTTACAATAAATCTACATATGTAAATGTGCATATTTATATACATATTGTACTTTTACATGTATGTGACACGATGAATGGATGGCTTCTTTTGGACTCATCGTGTGTAGCTCTAGCTCTGTCCTGGGGAGAGGAAATTTGTGGGAAAGATCTTTTCATTTCTCCAGCTACTTCATTTCTCATGTAGACGGGCTTTGCTGCCCATAGACAGAATGGACTTGTTGCCCCTGCCCATCATTGTGAGAGGGGAACAGGAATGCACCATCCCCAACTATCCCACCTTCACAACATCTTCTCTGAAGCAAATACATACAGGAATCCATGAAAGTTTATGCAGTTCTTGACTGAAGGGGTTTGAGTACCTACAGATTTAGGATGTGCTGGGACAAGTGAACAAGTTTATTTTTTTTTCATCTACATCATTTTGTCTTTATTTCTTGCAAAAGAATACCCTGATTGTATTATGCACAGAGAGTATTCGCATGCTCCCTGACCAGAGTTACTCCACAGTGAAGAACCGCAAATGCAAATCACTTCTCTAATTCTGAAAGAAAGAGAAAGATGGTACTGGTGACATCAGAGGGGAATTCCAGTTCATTTACATATCACAAAACACATCAACAACTTAATCTAGCAGATGAGCTACCATAATTACATCAAGATTTTTCCAATATGTGAATCACAGGATTCCTTCTTTTTTACTTGTTTTCCAATATAACTCTATAAAATATATTGTGTCAAGAGATAATCCTTGGCAGTAAATGACAGTATATTTCTGCCAATAGGGAACTATTACATGTAGTATGATTGTGTTGTATGAAACTGGAGATGTGATCCTTAATTACTCCATTTTTCTTTTACTTTATTTTATTTGGTGACATATTAATCTCTCCAGATCTGGTTTCTTGTGGAAGAAATTGAGATTGTGCACTATAGTGATTTTTTCCTCTGTATCTTTCTATGCTTATCTTTGTAAGAAGCAATGGTTTGTCTACAAAAATGTGTTGCCTCACTATTAAATTTTAGAAACCAAGACCTACTATCTAATATATGTCACTTATTTTCAGGTTGCTTTATTCCCGGAGGCAAAAAAAAAAAAAAAAATCCTGTTAGTGATTTTTCTTTTCTTAATTTAAAGGAAGGTGGAAATGATTTTTCTTTTTTAATTTAAAGGAAGGTGATTTATCTGGGAAGAATTGTCCACACATAAATGATCACAGGCCACGTACAATCAAGTTGACTGAGAGTCAGAATACTGTAGTGTCCAAATAAACAGACTCTAAAAGGAGAAAACACAGTTTTGAATCCTGGCTCTTAAACTGAATAAATGTGTACCTTTGGGCATAGCATTTTACCCCTCTGATCCTGTTTCCTCATCTGTAAGAGGGGATAACAATGTCCAGCTCACAGATTTGTAAGGATCAAGTGGGATAAGTTTTGCATGCGCCTGGCACATGGTATTCATTCATTCTATGTTACCTTGTATTATTTACCATTCCCCACACAAACTATTTTGAAGAGTAACCTTCACATTCTTCCACCAAGCACATTAGGAAAATATAGAGGGGGCTGATGAGAACTGGGCAGGATCCCAAGTTTTCTGCTAAGCAGTTTGGGGTTCAAGTCAGGGCTACAGTGTAAAAGGACCAAGGTGCGAGTTCTATCTCCTGAGGGATGGCTGCGGCCAGGGCTTGGAAATCAAGTAGCTCTGGTTTGAAATATTAGCACCACCGCCTCCCAGCTGGGCGATTTTGAGAAAGTCATTTAATACTCTGCAATCTCATGTTTCCCCATTTATAAAATGGGAATAATAATGTCCCCCGTAAGGTGGTGGTGAAGAATTAAATGTGATCTTATATATAAAGCATTTAGCATAGTACCTAACAGTAACATGTCAACAAGTGATAGTAGTTTTATTTAATATTGGGGAAGGGTTTATATTTTCCTTGTAAGTGTTGATGTTCTTTAGGCTGGTCCAACTCTTCATAAGGCAGGAGTGTTTTGCAACTCAATGTGCAATCAATTTCCAAGTTCGTCTTTAGACCTGTGGGGTCTATAATGGCAGAAATCAGTTCAGACCCGACCAGACAATAGGTTGGTTTATTGCCTTCCTCTTAGGTCTGGCTGGAGAAGCTCAGGACTGGGTCCTGGTGAGCTAACATGTAGAAGGAAGCCACTGGGAGGTCCTGCAGGAGGCCGTAGTTCACAGTATCTTTACTACTTCTTCCTTTATTCTGCATTCCACATAACATGAGAAACACAGGTGAATCTTTAGTTAATGTGTTAAACCACCTTAAAATAGGTAGTTGAGCAGATGATTATGTTTTATATGTTGCCATTTATTCTCATCAAAATGTTGAAGATTCATTTTGCGTTAGTCATTTTATAACTTCTGTAGAGAAAATGCAAAACTGTAAATTTGAATATTTCTATGATACTGCTACATCTTTTTGGGTGCAGTGGGTTAGACTGCTGGACGCATAAAGGGTTATTTACAGGAATTAGTAGTATCTGTAACCATCATTATTGCAAACAATCGCTTTCTTAGCCTGGTCTAGGTGATTCCCCATGTGTAGTGACAGTATAACAAAGTATCACATTCACATGTTTAATTCAATCTAATTTTTTTTCCAAATTGTCTTGTTCATTTTTAATGTCTTCTTTTATCCAGAAATACTTTCTTGCATATGATTCTTTTTCTGCATAATGAGATTGTTTAGAAATGCCTAGTAGGATCCAGACATATTGTTCTCACTGATTTTCTATTATGGGGAAGTTTTGGAGCTTCCTGTTGGGTATTTGCAAACATTCTGTCTAGGTTTGAGAGAGGCAGGTGGGCACATGACTTCCCCTTACATTCATTCATGAAAATGGATTCGAGTGTTTTTTAAAGAAAATCCACAAAGGTTTTGCCTTTTCTACCCAAACATCTTTATCTCTAGATTTCAAATTGGTTATTTTTTATCTTCTTATTATTTAAATCAATTAAAGTTTTGAATTAGAAAGAAGATAATTCGATTAAAATTAAATTACTTTACCAAAACAGTAAATCATCTTGGGACTAAACTTTCTTAAATTGCTTGTGTTCTTTCATTGTTCACTCAGTCAACTTTTTTTTTTTTTGAGATGGAGCCTGGCTCTGTCACCCGGGCTGGAGTACAGTGGTGCAATCTCAGCTCACTGCAACTTCCACGTCCTGGCTTCAAGTGATTCTTCTGTCTCAGCTTCTCAAGCAGCTAGGATTACAAGTGTGCGCCACCATGCCCAGCTAATTTTTGTATTTTTAGTAGACGGAGGTTTTCACCATGTTGGCCAGGCTGGCCTCAAACTGCTGACCTCAAGTGATCTGCCCGCCCCAGCTTCCCAAAGTGCTGGCATTGCAGGCATGAGCTGCTGCACCGGACCAAATTTTTTCTTTTCTTTTCTTTTCTTTTTGTTTTTGAGACAAGGTCTCACTCTGTTACTCAGGCTGGAGTACAGTGGCACAATCACAGCTCACTGCAGCCGCCTCCTCCTAGGCTCAAGTGACCCTCCCACCTCAGACTCCCACACAGTAGGGACTACACGCATGTACCAAGCCTGGTTCTTAAAAAAACAAAAACAAAAACACAAAAACGGGGTCCCACTCTGTTGCCCAAGCTGGTCTGGAACTCCTGGACCCAGGCGATTCTCCTGCCTGGCCTCCCAAAGTGTTGAGATGAGATTGCACACATGAGCCACTGTGGCCGATCTTCACTGAGCAATCTTTAATGACCAATCTTTATTGAGCACTGACTGTTTTAAGACATTAGGGAAAATACTGTGAGTGAAATAAAGATAGATTAGCAACCGTCAAGAACTTCCCTCTGCAGGTTTGTAGTTTCATAGGGAAACAAGATTTAGATGCAAATGCTTGTAACAACATTGACAGAGAAATCACGTAGACCAGAGGAAAGAAAGAAAGATAAAGCATCAGCCATTGGAAGTTGGACAGGAAGGGATTAGTCCTGGCTTGAGGGAGGATTTGTCCCTGCCTTTGTGTATCCTTTCCTTCATTTTCTGACTCGCATTCATTCTTTCTTTCACTATTTAATGATGCTCTTACCCTCTGGAATGGTTGAGTTAAAAATTACGACCAGGCAGGTGCAATGGCGCTCCTGTAGTACCAGCTACTCCGAAGCCTGGGGTGGGAGAATTGCTGAAGGCCAGGAGTTCAAGACCAGCCTGGGCAACATAGTGAGACCCTGTCTTGACACCAAATTGAAAAATTAGCCGGGCATGGCAGCACGTGCCTGCAGTCCCAGCTTTTTGGGAGGCTGAGGCAGGAGGATCACCTAGGCCAAGGAGTTCAAGGCAGCAGTGACCTATGATCATTCCACTGCACTCCAGCCTGGGCAACAGAGCAAGGTCCTATGTATTAAAAAAAAAAAAAAAAAAAAAAAAAAAAGATAGACATTTCACCAGTTCTTGCAGGGCAAAACAGACATACGCTCTGGGATATACAATATATACAAGAACCAAAAAAATAATAATACAAGCGCTGATTTTGGATCTAAAAGATTAAGTTCTGTTGTCTGCATGTTAATTTAGAAATAGTCCTCCTCAACATTAACATCTATAGACGTTTGACCTAAGGTTTGAAATATTACAGAATTTATTCTCTTTCTTTTTTTCCTCTGTTGCCCAGCCTGGAGTGCGGTGGCATGATCTCAGCTCACTGCAACCTCTGCCTCCTGGGTTCAAGCAATTCTCCTGCCTCAGCCTCCCAAGTAGCTGGGACTGTGGGCACACACTACCATGCCCAGCTAATTTTTGTATTTTTAGTACAGGCGAGGTTTCCCTATGTTGGCCAGGCTGGTCTTGAACTCCCGACCTGAAGTGACCCGCCTGCCTTGGCTTCCCAAAGTGCTGGGATTACAGGCGTGAACCACCACGCCCAGCTGATTCTCTTAACTGATAGAGGCCAAAAGGAGCAAGGATCGACACTGACCAAGGCCTGACCTCCACAGAAGTGCTCCCAGAACAGAGAGGCCCCAGGAGTAACAGAGAAAAATTCAGGCTGAAATGTTTGCAAACAGACATCCCCAAACACAGCGTTGGCATGAAGGAAACTCAGAGCACATTAGTCACTGCTTCAGTGGAGGAGTGGGAAGACCAGCCTCAGCCTGCTGGTGAAGAGCAAACTTTAAAATAACCCTACTAAATTAGAAAAGTGGTCAGGATGCTTTTTAAAGTTTGCTGGAGATAAATGCAGGGTAGGAGTCCCTCCAGGAGAGGCAAGTGAAGCATACAAATAGAAGATAAGATGTGACTGGCTACAGGGAAGGATGTCTTAAAATGAGCCAGCAATGAAAATAGATAAGCTGGAGTCAGTCATAACAGCAGCTTTTTAAAGACTGCACAGTGCCAGGATGCAAAACCAAGTTCCCAGAGGAACCATGAGATCACCCTCCCATTATACATGGTACTAGTCAAACTTTTCTAGGAGCACGGTGTCCATTCCTGAGTTCTAGAATTAAGGGGCATGAAGAACCTGGAGAACGTCCTATCCCTAAAGTCAACCAGGATTAGAAAATAAGACTTCTGCAAAAAAGTAAGGGTTCGAGATTGTTCATTGTGAAGAGAAAGCTAAGAGTTGATTAAATTGGCATCTTTAATTGGCAAGATTGTGTATGTGTGTAAGTATGTGTGTATGTATGTATCTATATATATGTATTTAAATTCAGCTATTTTTTTCACTAGGGTACAATCTTTTTAGCTATAATATATACATTTGGGGTTACATGTTAAGAGAATTGTCTAAAAATGGAGTTCAAACCCCAGTTTGAACAAACTCTTCTCTAAATCGAAAGCCATTTGCTTAGTGGTCAGAGGCCTCCTGGAGGGCCTGATCTTCTTGGTCTGATTTGACTTAATATTGGTAGGGATTACTGCCTAACGATTTATTTTTCTTCATTCCATTATTATTTTTCAGGCATCTTTCTTCTTCCTGGTCTACAGTATGAAATAGTGTCCTCCCTTATCTACAGCTTTACTTTTTGTGGTTTCAGTTAACTGAGGTCAACCACAGGCCAAAAATATTAAACGGAAAATTCCAGAAAGAAACAAATTGTAAGTTTTAAACTGGGCAGCATTCTGAGAAGGGTGATAAAATCTTGAATTGTCCCACTCCATCCCACCTGGGACATGAATCATCCCTTTGTCCAGTGGATCCACACTGTACTACCCACCCATTAGTCGTCAATACATTTGCTCCTGACATCCAGTCACTGCCATCCATCATGGCTCGATGATCCAGGTTCACCTGAAGCAGATGGTCCTTCTAGTTGTCAGAAAGTCAATAGTAGCCCAACCCTACATCACAATGCCTATATCATTTACCTCACTGCATCCCATCACAAAGGCACTGTGGTATCCCACATCATCCCAAGAAGAAGGGTGAGCACAGAACAGTAAAATATTTGGAGAGAGACCACATTCCCAAAACTTTTACTGCAGTATATTGTTAGAATTGTTCTATCTTATTATGAGTTGCTATTGTTAATCTCTTACTGTGCCTAATTTATCAATTAAACTGTATCATAGGTATGTATGTATAGGAAAAAACATAATATCTATAGGATCCGGTACCATCCATAATTTCAGGTATCCAACGGGGGTCTTGGAACCCATCTCATGCAGATAAGGGGGGACAACCATATTCTCCTGTATATGTTTGTAACAAGAATATTGCACTTCTAGGCACCAAGTTGCCTCCCAGCCCCTTCCCCTCTGCCACCAGAGAAACACTCCCACCTCCTCCATTCTTCCTGAGCTTCCTTCACGCATCTTGAATCAGTCGAAAGCTGTCTCTTCCCAGAAGACACGCCTTCTGATTGCCCTGGAATGCCTTTCTCCCACATGCACCCTGGTATGGAGGTGGGCTGCCATTGTCCTTGCTCCTTGTTCTACTTGCATCCACTACTATTGTTTCCTCTTGCAAAAATTCCCACTTTTTTGCACTTCATGGTTTTCAGCTCAATACACTCCTTCTTGTTAGTTTCTTCTAGCCAATTCCTGGTCACTCCCTTCCCAACCATTTGTCAACGTCTTAGCATCTGGACTCCAAGTCACACCATCATGCCCAATAACTTCAACAAATGCATGGCATTCCATTGTACCAAATGGTCTCTGATTCCTCAAGTTCTCATCTGCAATAGCTCTTCCACTCCACTCAAATCATCCACCCTAGTGCACACACATTGGGTCTTCCTGTCAATCCCTAGTCCCCCACTTTCAGAGTCACCGAAGCAAATGTCCTCTGAGCATCACTACTTCTCCTTGCCCTGGCTGGCTCGGCTGCTCCCACTGAGGTCATTCCTCAGCTCCATCAGGGTTTCAGGCTTGCAGCTCCATCCTGTCTCTCAGTGCCTTGACTTTGTCCCGTTGGCACATCCCCCTCATCTGGCCGATGCCAAGGGTTTAGCAAGTTTATAGCCCTTTTGCCAATACACTATATTCCCTTGCCCTTTGAGCTCTTTTGTTTGTTTGTTTGTTTGTTTCCCTCTTCTGGCAAACTCTCACCTTAAGGAACCCAATGGTTTGCATTCCAGCCCCCAGCAGCTGAACTTTTCTGAAGAAAGGCACGCAGTGGAGCAGACTGGCTTTATTGTAAATGCATAAAAATAAATCTCAGGGCCTGGTGCGGTGGCTCACGCCTGTAATCCCAGCACTTTGAGAGGCTGAGGCTGCCTGATCACTTGAGGTCAGGAGTTTGAGACCAGCCTGGCCAACATGGTGAAAACCTGTCTCTATTTAAACTACAAAAATTAGCTGGGCATGGTGGTGCATGCCTGTAATCCCAGCTACTCAGGAGGCTGAGGCAGGACAATCGCTTGAACCCGGGAGACAGTGGTTGCAATGAGCCCAGATTGCACCACTGCACTCCTGCCTGGGCAACAGAGAGAGACCCTGTCTCAAAAAAAAAAAAAAAAAAGAATTTCAGATGGACCCTCTTACTACATATTTTGATTAACTCGCTCTCCTACTTTCCATCAAAACTTCTATAAAGTTTCTCCCCTCCTTTGGTGACAGCTACTCTCCCACATGCACACACAAACACACGCATCTGCCCCTTCTTCCTCAAACTCAGCAGAAACTTTGCCTTCTACAACACAAAGAAAATTGAAGCTGTAACAGAAGGACTCTGTAATTGTTCAGAACACTCTTTCCGGGCTTTGGCAGTACAGGACTTTTTTGTCTTGCCCTCATCTCTCTGGCTACCCCATGTCCTTTGCACAAACCTGGCCATTAAATATCCACCATGTGATGCCAGAACTTTTTCTTCACTCTGTATGCTTTTCTTAGGCATTCTCAGCAATGACAAACTTGCACAGATGACTCACAAATGCGTATCTCTAGACCAGACATTCCATCGGCGCCTCCGACCCATCTGTCCACCTGTCAACCTGTCATCTCCATGCAGCGTCACAAAGGCACAGCAAGAGTTCCTAACTAAATTGTGCATCTTCCCACCTTCCAAGCCATGCTCTTCTACTTCTCTTATTTCAGCAAAAGACACTACCATCTTTCCTGTTCTACAAGCCAGGTATCTAGGAATCTAGATAACCTCCCTCACCCACATATTGATTCTAACACCTTGTCCTGCTCATTTCACCTCCTAAATACCTCTCAAATCCATCTCCACACTAACCCAGGCAACCATCACCCCCAGCCTGTATAACATCAGTAGCATCTTCCTGCAACAGCTTAGACCACCACACTATTCACCCTGTAACCATACTTTACTCTTCTCTTCCACTCAGAAGCCAGAGTGATCTTTTAGAAACATAATTCTGAGAATGCAGCTCTTCTGCTAAAACTCTTCAACAGCTTCCATGACTCTAAGAATAAAGAGAAAACTCTTTATCCTGCTATTTCCTGAGACAGATGCCCTTGGTGGCTGTTTAGGTCATGCTTCTGCATGCCACAGGACCTTTCTCCTGTTGTTCCCTCTATTTGCAATTGTCAGTTTTCTAGCAAAAACTTCTCTTGTGGCTCTAATTGTCAAATTGTCACCACACAATCAATGGCTTGCTGCCTGATGCACACAGAGGCCAATATGATGGCACCGGAGTTTTGAGAAAAGAAAAGCTTTATTGTCATTTAACTCACAAGAAGACAGGAGGAAATGCTCAAGTTTGTCTCCTGGAGCTAAGTGCTGAGGCAAGTTTTATAAGCATAGGGTAATGAGGTGTGATCTGATTGGATCTTGTAATGAGGTGATGCCAGGAGGCATGAGCTGATTGGATCCTGCCATGAGGTGATGACAGCACTCAATCTGATTGGATCCTGGGTTCTGCCTTGCGGTGCCTGCTTCTTCTTCTTCTTCTTCTTCTTCTTTCTTTCTTTCTTTCCTTTCTTTTTTTTTTTTTTTTTTTTTTTTTGAGACGAAGTCTTGCTCTGTTGCCCAGGCTGGAGTGCAGTGGCATGATCTAGGCTCACTGCAACCTCTGCCGCCTGGGTTCAAGGGATTCTTTGCCTCAGCCTCCCAAGTAGCTGGGAATACAGGCGAGCGCCACTACACCCAGCTAATTTTTGTATTTTTAGTAGAGACAGGGTTTCACCGTATTGGCAAGGATGGTCTCGAACTCCTGATCTCATGATCTGCCCGCCTTGGCCTCCCAAAGTGCTGGGATTACAAGCGTGAGTCACCGTGCCTGGTGCGGTGTCAGCTTCTTAATTCAGTGTCTGCTCCTCAGGCTGAGCATTTAGGTTCTTGTGGTTGCACACTTGGGCATGGTCAGGTTACATAAGCTTCAACCTGGGGGCTCTTGGCAACAGAGAAACAACTCACAAGTTTGCTATATAAAAGTTGAGCCAGATTGGTCTGGTATGGTTGGAAAGTCTCCCTACTATAAAATATCCTTCAATATGCTTCAGTTTTACAAGTATTAGTATGATTATTTGTGTCTTTCTCCCCTTGTTAAGGAATGCTGCTCTGTGAGCACAGGGACCCTGTAGGGTTTGGTTCCTTATTGTCTGCCTAGCACATGACAAAATGTCAAGCACAAGGTAGGCAATCAATCAACTTTTGTTAAAGGAACAAATGAATAAGTGATCAGTTTTATGTCTTTGTGTATCTCTACAGAAATATGGATTAATTTATCATCTAACCTATAACTTAGTTCATAGGAGAGGATACCATTCTTTAAAATCAATTCTTGGCCAGGTGCAGTGGCTCACACCTGTAATCCCAGCACTTTGGGAGGCTGAGGCAGGTGGATCACCTGACGTTAGGAGTTTGAGACCATCCTCAAACTCCATCTCTACTAAAAATACAAAAATTGGCCAGGCATGGTGGCAGGTGCCTTTAATCCCAGCTGTTTGGGAGGCTGAGGCAGGAGAATCACTTGAACCCGGGAGGTGAAGGATGTGATGAGCTGAGATCACGCCACTACACACTCCAGCCTGGGCGACAGAGTGAGACTCCATTTCAAAAATAAATAAAATAAAATAAAATAAACTCTTTGCTGTATAAGTAGCATATCATAAATCGTCTTTTATCCCACATGTCCCTCTTAGATGACAAAATATGCAAATATTCTGTTTGCGTAGCAGTTTTGTTTCACAGTTCCCTAATATTTTATAATATTATTCCACTTACTATAGAATTTGAAATTAAGGAAATATTTGGGTTTTCAGTTTGGACCTTTTGATTTCTCTTCCTTTTTTCACTCACTGATTTGCATTTAAACTTCTACTTCTCTCTACTTACCAGACTCTGCTTCCTAACAGAGACCTTCCAGGATGAAAGGGCTTGTGGTTGGAGCTCAGCCACGTTGGTGCCGGGCAGTCATAGTGGCTGCATTGTGCAGGGCGGCGCCTGTGACTGTCAGAGCCCGGCGGCCTCTGCTCCAGCTCCGGGACAGATTGTTCTCACTGCTGTTGCTCTGATTAGTTGTTTTTCTGATTCTAAACTTGGCTTTGCAGTCTGAGTTATTTCCTATTTAACCTCACATGCAACGTGGCATCTGGCCATGCCTCCTGAGAAGTCTTCTCTGATTCTGCCAGTTGAAATATAACTTGGTTTGTGTATGTGGGCTAGACCCTCTTGAGTCTGTGCCCTGGGAAGGGAAATAGGTTCTTCTGGTGAAGGTGACCCAGACCCAGAACTAAGCACATTTGCAGAATGGCTGGATTGGTCTTAACATCCCCTGCCTACCCACACATTCCAGCTTATTCCTCCTTCTACTCCCCACCCCAAGCCACTTCCCACTTGGGACCACTAACCCTGATCCAGCAGCTTCTTACCTCCTGTGGCTCCAGTCACTCATCT